AATGGTTTCGTACATATGCCAAAAACTTCGACAGTAGTGATGTTTCTCTTGTTTTACCTGTATCGTACAAGTTCCATATAAGGATTATGCACTGATGGGGCCAATTTGCAGGCTTATGCACTAGAAGTAGACCAACACAAAAGAACAATGCTTCTTGTTAACAAAGCAGATCTTTTACCCATTTCTATCAGGTCAGTATGCTGATAATATAGTTGCCATTCCCTGCCAGTTTTTTTTTTTTTTGAATGTGCAGTTTATGCTTCTTGCTTTATCTGCAGAAAGAAATGGGCTGAATACTTCCACAAGCAAGGGATTCTTTTTCTATTCTGGTCAGCTAAAGCTGCCTCTGCGGCTATGGAAGGGAAGATACCAACGATCTCTCAAGAGGCAGGTGATGCTGATACAAAAATTGTTGGCAGAGAAGAGCTATTGGTCCGGTTACAGTCTGCAGCGGAGGAGATAGTTTTGACTAGGAATAGGTCAGCTTCTGTTGGAGGAGGCCCGTCTCATGCTCATCGTGCTAATGAAAACTTAGCAGCAGATGTTCAATCTAGAAGTGTGATGGTGGGGTTTGTGGGGTATCCTAATGTTGGAAAAAGCTCAACCATTAATGCTTTGGTAGGGGAAAAACGGGCTGGTGTGACATCTACTCCCGGGAAGACAAAGCATTTTCAAACACTCGTGATATCTCCTAAACTTACTCTATGTGATTGCCCTGGTTTGGTGTTTCCATCATTCACAAGTTCGAGATATGAGATGATTGCATGTGGTGTTTTGCCAATTGATCGGATGACTGAGCATAGAGAGGCTGTACAGGTGGTGGCAAATCGAGTCCCTAGAAAAATTATTGAGGATGTCTACAACATATCTCTGCCGAAACCAAAGCCGTACGAGTCACAGTCTCGTCCACCTACTGCAGCAGAACTTTTGCGAACATACTGTGCATCTCGTGGTTATGTTGCTGCAAGTGGATTGCCTGATGAAACAAGAGCAGCACGTCAGATGTTGAAAGATTATGTTGATGGGAAGCTTCCACATTTTGAAACGCCTCCAGGGG